TTCAAGTTTCAGGGGGAAGTTATTCAGTACTTTCTGTACGGGGGAGAAAAACATCTTTTACCGCTACCCTTCTAAGTTCTCAGCTAGATCTCTATCTATGACAAGAGAAAAGCATACAAATTTATTTAATAGAAATTTTATGGGAGACTTCCTAAGGAAATGAAGACCAAAGAAATGGTTAAATCTGAGTGTTTTTTGGGTTGATGAAAAATAGAGAATCATCAGGAAATGCGATAGGACAAAAGGAGTATCAGCTAAGAGCAATACACTGGGGGCTCTCAGCAAAGCTGGTTTGCTCAGGGGCTTCTCGGAGCCCCGCCCCCTTGGGCGATAAGGATGCTCCTGTCTGGATATAGGGAAGGCACCTCTCACATAAGGGTCTTCCGACCTGCTTCAGGGGAAGGTCCAAAGGTCCTCCCTGCACCTTCAGCTTAAAACAGTCCACCTGCCAAGATGCCATATTTGGTGGGGGGAGCACGTCCTGACCCCTGTCGTTCCCCCACCTGAAACTTTCCCAAGAAGTTTCACAGCCCAGAAACTGAGCTGCTAGACTGTCCCATAACCCAGTGACCTCGTGGCAGTGCTGAGGCTGGGTCAGTCCATTCCAACAGCTGCGCCTCATTTCAGGAGGTGGTGGTACAGGCGGGCGTGAGTTCCCACCTGAGATAGGTCTCTGTATGCTGTGAGCAATCGGGCACTTAATTAGGGGGTATTTCCCCAGAAACAAAAGAAAAGGGTTAATGGTTAGAACAAACTCAGCTTTTGAGTCCAGAGGACGGTCAGTTAAGATTTCTGGATGCTGAGCTCCAAGCACCTTTACACGGTGGAACCGGAGAGGCTGTGGCAACCTGACTCGTTTCCCTGGTTTGTGGTTTGATGGTCTCTGCTGAGGTCGTCAGGGGCTCTGGTGACCTTTCTGAGTGAGTGGCCCACACAACAGGCTTGATGGTTTCCCACACATGACCTGCTGTGGTGATTTCTCTACAGATTAGATCAAGCTCTCCAGCCTCGGCTTGCAGGGTTTCAAACAAAGGATGGTTTTAGTTCTCAATGATTCCAAGTCATAGGGGTGGGAAAAAACTGGAAATGCTAACTTGGAGAATTGTAGCCAGATACCGGGGGCGAGGGGGGAAGGGGGGCGGGAACTAGAAGAAATCAGGATCCAGTCCAATTTACAGGTAGGTAGCAAAACCTTAAAGACAATGGAAAGGACTAGAACTTAAGACCCACAGGGGTGCACCACAGTTTCCTATGGAAACATTACTTTTCTCTACATACTAAACCCCATTTCTATCAACAATAAGAAGGGCAAGACTAATTTGTTTGCAAAATTAGTATATTCTCATTACATTTGGTCTGATTATTTACATGAATGTCCATATAGATTCTTCTTAAGTTTGCTTTGCTGGAACTTTCCATAAGAAATCTCAAATTAAGACTTTTAAAGGCCTCTTGAGGCTGGCAAGCCAAGCCAGAAACTTGACACCAAGCTTTGCCTTCAGTCCCTATAGATTTGGCTGAAATCCTCTTTTTTTAAGGTTCCTGGGTAACCCAGGAAATGACTGTCCTTCCTCACCCATAAAACTAGGAACACTGTAAGCCAAGTACCAGGCCAATTTTTTTTTTCCAAGACAGTTTCATAAGCATTAGCTCAGTAAGGACCACCTTAGCTCCTCCAAATGGTCATATCTGATTTTATACATCATTCTCAAACATAACATTCCAGTCAAAGCCTTGGTAATATGACCAATGTTTTTTATTATATCCTGTTATAAGGAAAATATTCCTTTTTAAGAAAAAAAATTTTAATCCTCAACCAAGGATGTGTTTATTGATTTTAAAGACAGAGGAAGAAGGGGAGAGAGAGAGAAACAATGATGTGAGAGAGATATATAGATCCTTTGCCTCTCATCCCAAGCAGAAATCAAATCCACAACCTTCTGGTGCACGGGACAGTACTCTAACAACCAAGCCACCTGGCTAGGGCAAGGAAAACAGATTCTTCTTGGACTTATGCAAATAACTATATTGCCATGAAAATAAAAATACTCAATAAGAGTTTCTAAATTCTGGAGGGATCAAACTGTTTTGTCTTTCTTCACAAAGGTATGCTTTACCACGTGGCTGTAATTTATAGATAGCTTAAGAGAAAAGAGAAAAGCCAAACATTAAAGAACTAGTAGTGTTTTGAACAAAAAGTCACTGAAAATTATAATCATCCTCATCAGTTCGTGTAATTAATTCTTGTTCTGTTTGATCTTGGGTGAGCAGCTGTATGAACCCATCAACTTCTTCATTAGCTTAGAAAATTACTCAATCCATTGGCAAGCTCTCAAGGGATAGTAAATCAAGCGATGGCTTCCTTGCGCACTCTCTCGTGTAGCTGATTGCAAATACTTTCCGAGGGGAATTAGGAGCAAAAAACAACTGTCCAGGAATGACAAAAGAGTGTTAAATGGTCACAGTGAAAGCACCGATGAGAGGTCATTATAGTGTAATTGACAAGAAAAATTTGTTTATTTCAGTAACATACAATATTTTAACGTAACTTGATTATGACTGATAGCATGATGCTGAATATATCAGGAATATCAAAGGTATTGACAAATTTCTATACCTGTTTGTGTGTTTCTATAACATAATATCCATATAGATATAACCTAAAGAAGGTGTATCATCCCTTCTTGTTTGACAGGCTTCCCACACAGTTTAATATATCAAAAAAACCTAATTAGTTTAACATCTCTCTTTTACAAAATCCTTTGAGATTTTCCTCTAGGAAATGTCAAAGTTAGGTTAGATTTTTAAGAAAAAGACTTTATTTAGAATTTGATTTGGGAATGCTTATCAAAAATGTCAAAAGGTTTGAGCACTTGATTAAACGGGATCACAGATCAGTATAAAATAATAATTACCTACTTAACCAAAGTGACAATGGCTGTGAACAGACCCTTAGCTTTTTTAATATGGAGAAGATTTGGTTTTCTTAAGTAATCAAAGACCTGATAAAGAAAACAAAGTACAGTAAATCACTCTGGAAAGACACAAAATCTTGTTTAAGGCAGATCACTTAAACAATAAAGAAAAACCTTTTACAATTTCTTAATAAGAGTAGGCCGATAATCCTAGAAAACTGTCATTCTAGTTTTACATCAGTATATTTTTGACATTAACGCTCATCTTTTTTTCCTAAGTTATAAATAAGTCAATTCAATCTTAGCAGCTTGATCATGCATAAAATTCCTTTTCTTCAAACCTACAAACCTTTTTAAAAAATATCTACCCCATTTTTGTCCGGCTCTTTTCCTCTTTCTCATTCTGGAATAGCCAGTCATTCCACTTTTGGACAAATTACTTTCTTTTTCCCGTAATAAAAACACATCCTTCATACCTTGTATACTTTCCTTATCACACACATTCTATTTTCCTTGTATGCTTTGTATACAGAGGTTTCTCTTTGTCCTTCTTAGTCCTACTAGTTTCATTTACATAATTGATAAGATGGTTTAATCCTTAGTAACCCTAATTTTCAGTGAAAACTAGGAAGCAAGCAATTGTGAACCGCCTGCCACAGACCAACATTCTGCAGTAGATCAGCAAATTCATGAATACACCATTTCACAATTTCTTGATGCATGTGCTTCTCCTTAGTCCAGTTTTTCAATGTGGCAAACATGTTTGCTAACAGGCCCAAATACCTTTTGTCTCTCTATGAAATTTAAGAAGCCGAAAGCAGATCAACTTAAACTTACATTTAGCAATTAATGTTTCGGTATTTGATCTTACTTAGAAATGATCTAGATATTCAATAAATAGCTATCATTTAACTTAGTATAGCTTTAAAGTTTCAAGTTACCAAAAAGATTTTGGAAAATCTCTTTAAGTAGACATATTATAAAACATAATTATTGTTGAAAATGCATTTCTAAACTTTTATCCTGCTCACATTAATTCACTTGTTCTTAACAATTGTACCAGAATTGCTGATGAAAACTTCATGAGACATTAAACAAAGCTAAGTATGATTTGAAGTTATTGTTCTCATTGACAAATCAGACAAATATGAAAAATATCACAAAAGCAAAGCACCTCAAAAGTTAAACATGGTTTCCTCCCCTTTTTTCTTTTTCTATTGTTGTGCTCAACATACATCAAACAATTCATTTTAATTGTACATTTTGTTCTTAGATTGGATTTATATTTTCATAATCTTAAACATCCAATAGAGATGATGTAAGCTGGTTTGTCTGGTAAACCTGGGTAGAAAAAAAATTGTATGTGTGCATTACATTTAATATCAACTCTGACAACTCTGAAGATATAACTTTTTTTTTTTAACCAATAATTTTACTAAAGGTTATTCCAGATCACATGAACCGAAGAAAAGTTTGGATTAGTGTTACTATTTCTGAGAGTTCTAGGGACACTTAATGTATCTAAGTGCTTGCTTATCTCTAAGCCAGTAGAATTCAGCCATCCTTGCCTCCTTGGCTTTCTGTGTAGTCCTTCCTTATTCAGGACTAAGAAGCTTCCACACAAAATTACATTACGTGTAGTACCTCAAGCTTATTGCTCCAAAAGTGCACCTCTGTATGCTAAATGCAGTCTGGAGTAAGTGCTCCTTCCATAGCAAAATGCAAAGGCCACTTGATGTAAGATTAAGAAAACGCAGCTGTCGCTCTACTAGTCAGCTGCCTATCCCTCCAACCTCAAACTTTCTGGAAGAAGGAGAAAGACTATTAATTACGTCACCTCAAAGATAAGTAACTCACCTCAGTTCATGCAAATGTGTCAAAATTAAGAATGAGCATGTAATCCCAAAATACAAATAAAATAAGATCTTGCTATGTGACGATTACTTCATGGATTTAGAAATTGTGCACCAAAAGTGTTCAGTTAAAGTTTAGAAAGTCAAATTTCCCAATAATAGTGTTATACGGTTAGCTCTACAGAGGAAAAAAGGAGGAAAACTTGTAATTCAACAAGCCACATATCCTCACCCGCCTTTTTAATTCGCCGTGGCCCATTTTACATTCTGAGTGGACTTTTTCTTCTCCGCACAGGCTGCTTCCAGGATTTCCCCATCTGCATATTTTATAAGACAAAAAATTAATTTCCACATGTGGGTAAAATAAAGTTCAAGTGACAAATCAAGTCCCCGCCAAGTGATAACAGAATCCAAAATAAAGAATGCTTTAACTGTTCATTTCTACCAGTACCAAGGTCTGACTGCCCCTACCTTCAAAGCGCACAGGCTGACGAGTCAGCAAATGGACAGTCCTTCTACCTGGAATAAAAATGCTAAAAGCCGAAAATGTTTTGCAGGAAACCAGCTGGCAACCGCTAACCCTAAAGATGAAAGTTTTATTAGAACCGAAGTGGAAAATCCTGCCTGTGTACACAGACTCGAATAGGAAACGACAGGGGGATTTTACGAGTGGAAATCTTACACAGAGCGGCACTATGTATGAAACAGAAGACATCGTCTGGGTGTACAGCGGAGGACTGAAGGGCTCGCTCAGGCCCTAAAGTCGGGTCGCCTGGATCAAACCCTAGCTCCAGCCACTGTTAACTTGGGGCCAGCTACTTAGCTTCCCTATCCCTCAGTTTCTGCACCTGTAAAGATGCCATCATGATGGCCCTGAATAGGATTACCGTGGGGATTGCATGAGATAGGACAGATGTAAAGCACTTAGCACAATAATGGGCACATCGTAAATGTTTAATAATTATCAGGCAGTCACATAATTGTGATCCTCTTTCTAAAACTGTTTTATAAGACCACAGTAGCAGAAGTGTCAAAAAGCACCTTAAGCAGCAGTAAAATAAAGTATGTTTTAGTGATTCGCTCCCTGGTAGGAATAGATAATCCTAATACCCATCACCATTCAGCCAATACAATAACCTGGGTCCGATATCAAACAAACCTAAATTAAAAATCATTAAAAAGTGTTGTAGTATAAAGGTGGCTACTAATCTGCTCACTTGAGCCCAGAGTTCTAATTACTAATAATTCAGGTTACGGCATTAAGGGACTAATGGAGTTTTTCTATAACATACTGCTGCTGAAGTAATCTTGAGATGGCAACCATAATAAAACCATAATAAAGTCAAAAAGCATCAAGAACCAGCAACTATCCTGGAAGTACAGCAATTCCGTATGTCCCACCTCACAGCCTGAGCAGCCAGGGGAGGAGGGCGTGAGAAATACGGGCGATTCAGAACAGCTTATTTCTCTCACGTTCCCGTGAGTTAAAGGATCTGCTGCAGATCATTCTAAAAGTTTGGTCTGCATTTGACCTTGACAGCCCAAGGAAACCCAGGCAGTGTCAGGGAAAGTAACACCTCAGCCTAAAAGCGGCAAGTCGGGGATGAAAAGGAAAGACTCCAAGAATGCTCGGATTCTTATACCACTCCCTGGGGAGAAAGTATTTCAGACTGAACTGTTAACTGGCGGCAGCCGCCCCCCGCCCCCGCCACTGCTCCCCCCCTGCCCCCCACTATCACCTGAGCAAGCTGCTAGAGCAAGAATTTAATAACTACTTATTTGGTAGCCACTAATTGACTCTTCATTTCAAAGCAGCCTTTTTATCTAGGTGTAAAAGGATGAAATCGTCTCAAAATTTTTTTGCAGCAGATGGAAATGCATTCATCATAACTCTCTATTATCCAGTTCAGCTGGCAATAACTTGTGGTTGTAAAGAAAAGAAAAAAAAACAGTTTGGGTGCTTTTAATCAAAGCCTGGATTCTGGCCCTGCCCTGCAGCATGCTGTAATCTGAGAAAAGTTCCTGCTTCACATTCCAAAAGAAATGAATTTTTATGTGAACAGCCCCCTACATTCACTACCACCGCCCTTTGCTGTTGTTTTGATCCATGCAGCAAATATCATAAGCACCTCCTACTTCAGAGGCAACATTAATTATGGTGCCTTGAAAAAACATTCGCTCGTGGACCTATTGCATTTCATAAAGGTTTAAAGTGGAACAAATGGATCATAAAACACTCCTAGGAGTACACAGGTACGAAAAAATAAATGGGAGAATCACCGTGCTGTTCACTCTCTAAAAAAGCATTTTAGCTATAAGCACCAAAATGTTCAAGGTGCTTCTGAAAGGTAGAGGAAAACTGGATTATCAAAAGCAAATAGGCTTCAGAAGCAGCTCCACCATTTATAAGCAGGATAAGCTTAGACAAATTATTTTATCTCTCCAAGCTTTGGTGCCCTCACCTATAAAAAGGAAATATAAATTCCTACCCTATATAAGTAAGGGTTGCTGTGGGGCCTGAATATGTATAAAAACATCCAGTGCAGTGCCTAGTACATAGATATGATCAATAAAGAGAGGCCGGTATTATTAGAGACATTTTCAACCAAAGAGACAGCTTTAGTGGTGACTTTTATTCCTTGGTGGAAAAAATTCATCATGTCAATAGAATTTATTACTGTTCTGAAAAACAAAGTAAAATCTAAAGTTTCGTGGAAGAAGATGGAATTTGACAACCTCAACTAGAATTATCTCTCTAAAGGCAAGTGGGGAGACAGGAACTTGCAACGAAGAGGTGAGTTCTATTTCATAAGAAAAGTATGTAAACAAACAAACAAACAAACAAACAATCTGTAGTGAGATTACAGAGGAAGGAGGTGGAGAAGGGGAAGTCAGGAGCAGCTCCGCCTGTCCGTCAAGTTGAAAAGGTCCTGCCTCGTCCCATTATTTTCTCCTCTTCTCGACCCCTCTAGGGAAGAAACATGTCCTCGTAGAACTGGGGAGTTCAACCAAAAAAAACGACGGAAGGAACCAGGTAAACAAGCAGGCTATATATATATTAAGCCTTGCTAATCCTTTGGGTTAACAAGACTTTCTGTGTAGTTTTACAAGTTTCACTTTACAGCACAGATAATTTATATAACGTATCTTAGAATCCCAAGGTCTACCAGTCATTCCCTGCCTTATTCGAATTCACTTCATCAAATAATTACGAGTCAGCTATCGGTCATGAGAGAAATGGAAGTTTCACTTGGGGGAGAGGTTAACGAGTAAGAGGAAGACATGGGTTCTGTGCCCCATGGGGCCCTTGGGAGAGGAGAAAGCCCCTTGTCTAGTGGCAGGACTCACAGCAGGGAAAGGAAGGGACGGCAGGGGAGTGGGTGCCAAGGACTCCGGGGCAAACACTGGAGATCGGCGCCCAATACTCTTACTTTGGCTTTTCAGCGGTGATGGCTGCCAGCGTATTATCAGTGAAATCAAAAGCTGCTGTAGATGATCAACACTCATCAACTGTGGGGTTGTGATATACGATACTGGGGTCTAACAATATGAAGTTGTTCTACCTTCTAATCAAACTGCAGGAAATTATCATCACTCAAAAATTGTCTATTTAATCATATCTTTGGAAGAGGCAGTGAGGGATAACTTAAAAAAATCATTGGCACTTCTTTCTTCTACAAGCCTCTTACGAGCTTTTCAGAACTGCTTTTGCTCGCCAAGGTAGATGCACAAAATTTAAATTTATAACCTACACACTTCGAAATCCTGTACCTTCCATTCCCTTGTCCAACCACATCTCTGTAGTTATATTCTAAAGGGAACAAACACATACAAAAACCACACACGCACAACAGGAGTAATAAAATTAACTGGAAATACTGCCGTAGTAAGCACATCCTCTCAATTCGATGAAATAGAATTGGCGATTTAAATACAGTCCCCCTAAAGTGCATAGTTTATTTTAAAAAAAACAGACCGGCGGACCGCAGAGGTAGAGAAGTACTAGGTAGAGTCCGAGGTCCGCACCTGCAGGGAAGTAACTAACCTGAAGGCTAAAGGACCCTGTACGCTATGGAGCTGTGGGGGCGACAAGAAGCAGCTACAGGAAGGGACCGGGAAGCCGGGAATGAGCCTGGTGACAGCTTTACTGAGGCCCTCGGCAGCTGCCGTGATGGAGTATAATCAATGCTATCGGTTATGAGCCTCCAGATCTGTGTCCTGCGTGCCCGCAGGGACGCCTGGGCTCCGACGCTCCCCGTCTGTGTATTGTCACCCTCCCCAGGAAAGCCAGCTCAGCCAGCCCCTGGCTGTGGTCCCTGCGTTCTCTGCGCCGAAGGTCCTTCGGCGCATCTGCTCCGAGTCATCCACCAGCCAGCGTGTTCTCACGTGCCAAGTCTCCAGCCCCACGGGTACCACATGTCACCCTGAGCCCCGAGAGGAGACGCTGTCCACCGGGGTGTGCCTACGACACACCCGCTTCTCGCTCCCCGCCCTCCCCGCAGGGTCCCCGAATGGCCTGAGTATCACCCACTTCTTTGAACTCTCAGTTCCTGCTCAGTCCCTTCAGTAGAAACTGAAAAGCAGCCCCTCTTCAGAAAACCTGCCCCGGACGGGCTTCGCTGCCTGCAGTTGCCCTCGCAGAGGAAAGGGCACCGCATGGGAGACCCGGGCTGGCCTCGGGTCCCGGTTCTTCTGCTCGGTCACTCCAGCAAATCACTCGCCTCCCTGAGGCCAGTGTCTCCGCCAGGAATGGTGTGAATTAGACTCAATGAGCTCAAAACTAATCCCCAGCTCTAAGGATTTCTTACGCAAAAAGACTATCCAGAGTATTAACTAATAAAAACCAAAATTACTATGAAATTTTACAGTTACGTTAAAGCACCCTAGGTTTAAAAAATACACAATATATAAAAAGCACAAAAAAGAGAACAACTTTTAACTTTCAAAGGGTGACAAGGTTAATTAAATTGTCCATTTTCTGTTTTTTATTTGGCACCTGAAAGCAAGCCCAGGGGAGCCCTTAAAGGCTCCTAATAGAGACACGCTCCTATTTACTAATCTCTGTGCAATATTCTATATACATGGTTGTTTAATATACCAAATGTGTTTTAAATACTAACTGTGATAGTCTTATGTGTCAACTGGGCTAGGTTGTAACACCCAGTTACTTAATCAAATATTCGTCTAGCAGTTGAGTAAAGATACTTTGTAGACGTGGTTAATAAGCGCAGTGAGTTAACTTTAAGTAAAGGAGGTTACCCTCGACTGTGTGTGTGCAACTCCTCAGATGAGTTGTAACCGTAAGAACAAAAACCAA